TTTGTCTGAAAAGTGTAACATACGTAACAGTAACACAAATCTATTCACTGGTATAATGTCACTGAAAGCAGGGGTTGAAATCAGGCGGTCTGTCGCCCAGTATGTGTTGACACTATGCTTATACACATGTGGCATAAGCATTCTTGTGGCAAAGAACAGATACATCTCTGCCACAGTTGTGTCCTTCCACTGGTGTAGGCGTGATCTTGGTGACAGAATAGTGTTGCCATGGTGTACTCATAGTATGTATTGCTTTCCCTGACAATAATGTCCATCAGGGGTTCATCAAAGAACAACTGAAAGCATTCCAGTTCAGTGGGATTGTTCCCAAGTGTACACGATGGCCGTATTCCACTTTGTCCTCCATCAAAGTCATGGGGATTGGGAACAAACTCGTCATCTTGCTGCCAATCCCAGATGCAGTCAGCTGGTGCGTTCTGGATATTGTAATGTGGTTGTGCAGGTTGTGGTTGTGGGAGTGTGGGGTCGGGTGAGGCTGGTTGTAGTTGTGCAGAGTCAGCAGCGCGGGTAGTAGCGTGGCCTGCTGCTGGTGTCACATGACTCATGCCACCATCGCTATCACCACCACCGCCTGCTGCCTCACTTGCATCATTGATACCCATCGTAACAATATCATCATCTTCACTATCAGGACGTGGTGTAGGGCCGCGGGATGTGCTCCGAGATGTACTCCTTCCTCTTGGAAGAGCATATGGCAGACTACCAGACCGCATGCGACGTCGTATATACTGCCTCTTCACTGGGGAATATTCACCCTCACTGTCACAACTAGAACTGCTTTCAATAACCTTGAAATCACTATCACTATCACTTGCACTGCTCACATCTGAGTCTTGTACATGGGCAAATAGTTTCCTCTTTCGTCCTGGTACAGGTGAACATGAACGAGCCGGCCCAGCACCTGAGGTGGAAGGTTGTGGGTCATCTGGGTTTTCATCACTAATTATGTTATCCTGGGTAATTTTTTTGGTCACACCCACTTCAAAAACAGGGAATTCACTTTCACTGACACTATCATCACTGTTTGAGCTATCACTTGGGAACAAAAGACCTCCAATCCGCCGAGGAGTGAGGAACTTCTTACCACGAGGCATGGTGAAAATGGACTACCAAGATGGCGTTCCCACAATGCACCGCTGAGTCCCAGATTTTTTTCACAGGGTACACACCGGCCACTGAGACCCATTCTCTCTCGTGTAGGCCTACCAGCCCTCTCCCGCATGATTTGAAGCCGCTAGAATTTATGCGTATAGATACGTCAAACACGGTATCTCCCATGACGTATGTATACGACCGCGACAGTCAAAGGGTTAAGACTACAAATGTTTTAAGGTAATTAATGAATGTACTGTATATGTATTTCATCACTCTGGTGAGCTTTAATTAAATGTAGTATATTATGTGTTGGTGGGGTGACCTGGCTGGCTACCATACCTCCCAAACCTGACTTCCTACAAATTAAACTTGCCTCTCATCCTACATTAAGACTACAAATATTTTAAGGTAAGTAATGGGTGTACTGTGTGTGTATTTTACTTTTTATTGTTTTTAATGCCTAGTTCTATTGCTATCTTATCCCTTAAACTGTCCAAACATAGATCTACGTTTTTTCAACATTTGAATGTAAAAAAACATAGATTTTTTTTTTTCACATTTGAAAGCATGTTAAAAAACTTTGATCTACTTTTTTTTTTTAAAATATGTAGAAAAAAGTAGATCGATTTTTGGAGCACTACGCATGTGAACGTAGATCAATGTTTGGACAGTTTAAGGGTTAATATATGTTAGTGTCAACATGTTACCTGGCATTTATAAGTGGAAAAAATGGCGTTCTGCTTTCCAGCGATGTCTGCTTTCCGGCAGTAGCCTGGAACCTAACCTGCCATATAAGTGGGGCCCTACTGTACAGATATGAATGAATGTATTAATAATTTTCTAAAAAAAAAGAAAAAAACTACCTCGATAACAAGCATTGCCCTAAAAAAAAACTAAACAGATCACAGCTAAGAGACAACAGTCCCTGGCCAACACCCAGCATCCTTAACCCTTTGACTGCCGCAGGCCCCTTTCTGAAACTGTCATTCTATGTCGCAAAATTATTGAGAAAAAAATTATTTTTTCTTATGAAATGATAGAGAATCTTTTCCCGATGGTAATGACACCAAAAGTTCGAAATTTGGTCGAAAACTCACGGAATTACGCTCCCGCGAAGTTAGCGGTCTTGGCAACATATACGTATCGACGATTTCGCCGACTTTGAGCCCTGTTTTTAGCCAATTCCGTTGTTCCAGTTGACCAAACTCATAGCTATTTCTTTAGAACTCCATTTTATCTATCAGTTGAGTACAAGAAACCGCCCATTTACCGATTTAAACTACCCAATAAAGTTGTCAGAAATTGGCAATTTGGCCAATTTCACACAAATCAAAAAAGATGCCAATTTCAAAATAGGGTCCAGAATAAACAAGGTAGACATTCTTGGCACTAAAATAACATATCTTCTGTTCATTAGTCACATCTCTAGGCCCCTCTTATATTACTATTGCTTTTTATTTTGATTTTTTATTCATACAAAAAAATACAAAATTTACTGGTATGCAGACTACTGCATTATTTTATAAATGGTATAAATAATATCAGTGCACAAGTGAAAGAATATTAGACTCCCCAGTTGACATGTATTGGACGTGTGGTGTGATTTGCTTACTCCTGAACATTGGTAAAAATCGAACATTTCCGCTAATTTGAGCTCGGTTTCCAGGTCGTTTTCATCTTGAAAGTAATGACAATCATCTCTATTTCTGTAATATGTTTTCCATTTTATCACCTAAGATCATGAAAACGAGAATACAACGATAAATACTATACGAAAATACACCTCAAAGTCGGAGTTTTAATCCAAAAAAACGGTCAGTTTTTTTCTTCTCATTACACACTGTGTGCTGCAGGATTTTTTTTATGTGGTGCACACTGACCACACAGGCCCATTCTCTCACATGTGGGCCTACCAGCTTTCTCCTGCTTGATTTGAAGCCTCTAGAATTTATGAGTATATATACGTCAGAAACAGTGACACGTAAGACGTATTTATACGGCGTAAACAGTCAGAGGGTTAAATCCATTAACACAAAACACTTACTATATGAAAAACGGTACAGAACGGGTCAGATAACTAGAGACCATTCTAAACGTTACTCGCCAGTCCTTTCCAGCCTGATAAGGTCAAAAAAATTGTATTATGAAAACAGATTACATAACATAAAAGGTGATATGAAAAAGACCTGGAAAACCCTATCCAAAATTCTAGGAACTAAAAAGATATCCAAAAACAAAACAATCAAATTAACAAAATCTGATGAACCCCTTTTCTCACCAACTGAAATGGCAAACAGACTCAATGTTTTCTTCTCCACCATAGGAAAGAATCTAGCAAGCAAAATCCCAATGTCAAACGCCCGTCCATCAGACTACCTAACGGTCATCTACCCGAATACACTATTCCTAGCCCCAACCAACTCAACAGAAGTCTCACTCATCATCAACACCCTCAAAAACAAGGCAGGAGACAAATAACTACCACCTTTTATGTACAAAAAAGCTTCAAAAGTACTGCCACCAGTAATTGCAACATTCTTTAACAAATCCATCAATCCTTCACCTTCCCAGCAATTCTCAAAATAGCGAGGGGTCACCCCGATCCACAAAGGAGGTGATCAAGCAGACTTCAATAACCATAGACCAATTTCTAACTTACCTCTGGCCTCCAATATCTTTGAAAAATTAATTCATAGACGGATCTATTCCTGCCGTGTCTCACACAACATACTAAACCCCGTCAGTTTGGATTCAGAAATAAAAGCACAAATGATGCTATTATACACATGCTGGAACTAATATACATTGCTCTTAAGAAGAAAGATGTCCTGCTGGGAATCTTCATTGATTTACATAAAATTTTTGATACTGTTGACCATGATTTGCTGAATGTTAAGTTAACACACTGTGGTATAAGAGGGCACCCCCTCAACTACCTAAAGTTATACCTTAGTAACAGAAGCCAATATGTGTACACAAATGGAGCATACTCTTCCACTCGACCAATCACAGTCGGTGTTCCACAAGGAAGTGTCCTTGGCCCACTACTCTTTCTTATTTACATCAATGGCCTACTGAATGCATCACAACTACTCAAACCCATATTATTTGCAGATGGCACTGTATACATCTTCTCTCACCCAAACCCAGTCATACTGGCCAACACTGTTAATGCTGAATTGCAGAAAATGTCTACCTAGATGATGACTAATAATCTTGCCCTCAGTAATGACAAAACCTGTTTCATTCAGTTTGGAAACAGAGCTGCAAATGTTCCACTTAACATAATGCTAAACGGATTACCCATCACAAGACTTGCAGAGGGAAAATTCCTAGGAATCCACCTTGCCAGTAGCCTCAAATTCCAGACACACATGCAACAAATTTCCAAGAAAATCTCCAAGACATTAAACCATGGGTGAACCTTGGACTTTTTTTAATCATGCCACATATAACAAAGTACAGAACTGTTCACTTATGTTCTGTATCGTAAACACTTGATCTACACATCCCCTTCCCTTTGTAACTCTGCCAGGTTCTGAAATTACAAATCCATAGATATGCTGCTTAAAAAATTAAAGAAATGTCACTTTTATAGTGATGCTTTTGAGCATAATTACATGAGCATAATTACAGGGTTGGGGAGAATTCAGAACTACCATGTATCTCTTAAACTTATTTGAACTCCTTATTGACTGCATTATTGTCTCATCTACTGCCTTTGTAGTATTTTACTTCTCCTTTCCTTATCATTGTATGTCTTACTTACCTCCCATCTTAATAGAACATGCTCACGTGAACCATCTTCTAAAGTTTTCCAATATGGTCAGTTTTCTTTTACTCAGTTAATATATGCACCAGTCAATTATCTGTTTTAATTTCAGCCAGCGCTTGGTACAACATTGGTGGGGATAAATTTCACAGTTCTCAGTCATCTGTTGATCACACTACAATGAAAATTAAAATTTTACCAGCACTCTCCGATAACTACATGTACCTGGTAGGTAGAAACTGCTGTTTTCATTCCTATTATACCTAGTGTAGCTGTTTGTATTTAATAACTGAGGAGTTTAAATAAATAACTCAACAGGAACATTAGTTAAATATTTTTCTGTATACTCAAATTATTTGGGTATAGGGGTATCTTATTACTGTACATGTTGAATGCTGTACTGTATACAGAAGATTAAAGAAATGTGACAAAATATATACATACTCTATATGAGGTTTGAGGGTCTCCTGGGAATTATTTATTCCCAGGAGGCCCTTCAGTAAAAATCATGTACAGTGGAACCTCGGTATACAACCAGCTCCCTACTCGAACGAAGCTCAGCACTCGACCAAACAAATACAACCTGCCAGAACTTTGCTGTAAACTATTTCGTGTTTCTTCACATTTTTTGGTGTTTTTTTGTATTTGTAAAAATAAGTCACCATGGGGCCTACGACGATTAGTAATAACAGCCAACCAAACAGAAAATTGGTTGGGAAGAACTTGTTCGATGCTCAAACAGAGCAGCACTCGAACAGTCTTCTGGAATGAATTAAGGGCGCATACTGAAGTTCTACTGTAGTTTTATAATTCTCATGTTCATGTACTGCAAACCTGTTGCTAGTACAGTCTCTCCTCACTTAGCAGAGTTCCATTCCTAAGAGTAGGTCAGTAAACAAATTGGTCATTAACCCTTAAACTGTCCAAACGTAGATCTATGTTCACTTGTGTAGCGCTCCAAATATGTAAAACATGTCGAAAAATGCACTCTTCATTTAAAAAAAAAAAAAATTTTAAATGAAGAGTGCATTTTTCGACATGTTAGAGGGTAAAAAAAATTTTTTTAGGGTTGGTACTTACCGAAATGTAAGCCCATGAAGTTGGTGCTGGATGCTCACCTGACGGCAACATCGACTCCTGCACTTGCAAAAGTGTTGCCGATATACCTTTTTTCTTGTTTTTATTTTAATTTATATATTTTTTTATGTTCTGATAATTACAATTTAAAATAGTTCTTGTGATTTCGTAGCCAATCTTTCTGACACTAATATTAGATACTGAAATAGTACTCAAATAGTCACAGTCACACCGACAAGTGAACATTTTCACTTGCCTGGGTCATTTACTATTGTCTAGAAATATATACAAAGTATTTATAGGTTCCAGCAATGTTTTAGACACACTGGAGTATACCTTGAAGCATGGTGTTATGACAAGTGCTGGTAAACTGCTGACAGCCCCGTGACACTTGATGAATGCGCATTCAGGGAACCCTCACTTTGTTTTCACCTACACACAAACATTGTCTGTCTGTCTGTCTATCTGTCTAGCTCTGCTTATCTGTCTGCCTGTATGTGTCTGTCTTTCTGTCTGCTTGTCTCTGTCTCAGGGAGCGGCTCATAAAACTGTTGGTTTATGAGCCGCTCCCTGATTCCTAAGCAAGTGAAAATGCATATTGTATCATGGTTATTTATGTCTTATGTCTACAAGCACAGTATAGCACTTTGACTGGAATTTTTGGGTTATCCTGGGTAATTTACACTCTAATAACTATGTGTACATGTAAGATAGATATAGACAGATATAGTATATAGATAGACGGAGACGTAGGCGGACGGATGGAGACACGCATATATAGACAGAGAGACAGCCAAAGCCAGCCAGCTGGCCAGCCTGCCAAACACATAAGAACATATGAAAGAAGTAACACTGCAGCAGGCCTACTGGCCCATGCAAAGCCAGTAGGCCTTGCATGGGCTTAAACCAATGACCCACTTAGGTCACATTCACTGAAGGAAGGAGCACAGCATCAGACCTAGTAGCACAAGCTGGTCAGGTCCAATTCACACCCACCCACACCCACTCATTTATTTATCAAACCTATTTTTAATTTCCTCTTAACACCAAAAGTATGAAATTTGATGGAAAACTTACGGAATTATGCTCTCACGAAGTTAGCGGTCTCAACGATGTTTACGCTTCAGCGATTTTGCCCACTTTGAGCCCTATTTTCAGCCAATTCCAGTGTACTTGTCGACAAAAATCATAACTATTTCACTAGAACTCCATTTTTACTATTGAATGAGTACAAGAAACCACCCATTTACCGATTTCAACTATCCAATACAGTGGTCAGAAATTAGCAATTTTGCCAATTTCACACAAATTTCAAAAGATGCCAATTTCCGAATAGGGTCTAGAATAAACAAGAAAGACATTCCTGGCACTAAAATAACATATCCTCTGTTCATTAGCCATGTCCCCATGCCCCTCTTACATTCTTTTGCTTTCCACTTTGAAGTTTTATTCTCACAAAAAAATAGAGGATTTACTGTTATGCAGACTACTGCATTGGTTTAGAAATGGTATAATAATATCAGCGCACTTGTGAAAGAATATTAGACTCACTAGTTGATGTGTATTGGACGCATAGCATGATTTGTTTACTTTTGAACTTTGGTAAAAATCGAACATTTCTGCTACTTTGAGAGCAATTTCAAGGTAGTTTTCTTTGTAAAACCAGCCAAAATCATCTCAATTTCTGTAATATGTCTTCCATTCTATAAAATGAGACCAGGAAAACTAGAATACAACAATAAATACCATACGAAAATACAGTGCAAAGTCACTGCTTTAATCCAAAAACACGGTCAAAGTTTTTTTTTCTCATTACGTACTGTGTGCTGCAGGATTTTTTTATACTGCGCACACTGACTACATAGGCCCATTCTTTCATATGTAGGCCTACCAGCTTTCTCTCACTAGATTTGAGGGCGCTAGAATTTAGGCGTACTAGTACGTCAAAAACCCTGGTGCATAAGCCGTACTAGTACGGCTGAAACCCTGAAAGGGTTAAAAGGGGAATGTTAATGTGACATAACATCAGTGAATCCCTGGTGGTTTGCCACACCATTTGCTCTACCTGGCACTTAATTGAACTGGTGCTCCCGCAAGGTACTAAGTGGCCCCGGATTTTTTTAATACTGCACACACCGAGTGTTGTGGAAATTATAAAAGAAATTATAAGAAATACTACAAGAATTGACTGGGAAAGTATAAACCAAGAGCTATCAGACGTGCACACCCAAAATCTCCACCAGTGCCTAGAGAAGCTAAATATAGAAGCATGCAGGGTCTGTATTAAACGTGTACCATTGAGGGAGGCCAGAAGAAAATCAAATATAAAGAGTGAGAGAGTGTAGGAGATGGTACATAAGAAAATGGGTTACTGAATTGCTTAAGAACACAGATATGTTGCAACAGAGGAAAGATAGCCTTAGCTGAGAGATCACTGAATTAGAGCAAAAACTTGGGATGTTATACCTCACAGAAGAAGTACAAAGGGAACAAAAGGCCATACAGGATATTGCAAGAAACCCAAAATATTTCTATTTCTATGCAAAATCCAAGCTAAGAACTACATGGAGAATTGGACCATTATTGAGAGGAGATTTGTATACTGACGATGAACAGGAAATGAGTGAAATTGTAAATGAATGGTACGAGTCAGTGTTCAGTAACCCACTAAGTGACAGCAGGGTAGAGAATACAGAAACATTTTTCACTCCAGCAGAAGGCCGCTCAGACCAACTAACTGGCATTAATACAGATCCCATAGATTTCGAAAAAGAAATGGATAACAGGCCCACTTATTCAGCACCTCGACCAGATTCATGGAGTGCTCTTTTTATAAAGAAGTGCAAAGCACAGTGAAACTTTGGTTATCAAACAGACTAGTTGTTGAACAAATCAGTTTTCGAACCGATTTGTTCGATTCGGTTTTTGTACGTAGTCTTGGTTGTCAATCAACAATGCTCGGATCACATGATCTCCAGACAGAGTCCACAGTGTGGGTCTCGGTATAGCAACTAATGTGTGTGCTGTAAACAACTCTTGAGCTCTTCCTGTGCATTTTGTGACCTTTTCTTGTTTTTTGCAGTTTTGGTGCAATTTTTTATTGTGAGATAAACCATCATGAGTCCAAAGAAGGATAGAGATGAAAGCAAAAAGAAAACTTGTGATGGATAGATGATGGATATAAATGCACTGGAAAATGTGCAAAGGAGGATGACAAGGCTGATCCCATGTATCAGAAATCTTCCTTATCAGGATAGACTGACGGCCCTGAACCTGCACTCTCTAGAAAGGTGTAGAATTAGGGGGGATATGATTGAAGTGTATAAATGGAAAACTGGAATTAATAAAGGGGATGTAAATAGCATGCTAAAAATATCTAACATAGGCAGGACTCACAGCAATTGCTTTAAATTGGAAAAATTCAGATTCAGGAAGGATATAGGAAAGCACTGGTTTGGTAATAGAGTTGTGGGTGAGTGGAACAAACTCCTGAGTACCGTCATAGACGCTACGACATTGTGTAGTTTTAAAAATAGGTTGGATAAATGCACGAGTGGGTGTGGGTGGGTGGGTGTGAGTTGGACCTGACTAGCTTGTGCTACTAGGTTGGATGCACTGCTCCTCTCTTAAGTGACATGTCTGACCTCACTAGGTCAAGGCATTGGCTTAAGCTGGTGGGAGAATTGGAGCTGCCTTGCATAGGCCAGTATGCCTGTTGCAGTGTTCCTTCTTTCTTATGTTCTTGTGTAATAACACTGAGTTTAAAAAGGAAGTTATTCAAAAGTATGAAGATAGGCTCTGTGTGGTTGATAAGGCAAAACTTTTTAGTAAATCAAAGTCTTCCATTAGCACAATGCTGGGCCAAAGGGAAAAAAATAAAGCAATTGTCCCTGCAATAGGCACAAAAGTGATATCAAGGCAAGGGCCACAAATTATTGAAAGAGGTTGAAAAACTCTTGTTAATTTGGATAAACGAAAAGCAGTTACATGGTGATAATGCTTCAGAGTCCATTATTTGTGAAAAAGCGAGGCAGTTGCATGATGACCTCCTGGAAAAAAAAAAAGTGCTGAAATGCAATTCTTCAAGGCTAGTAAGGGTTGGTTTGATAATTTAAGGAGACAAGTGGCATTCATAGTGTAGCTAGGCATGG